ATTAATGGTTTTCAATAAATAACCTTTTCTTCACACAAAGTATCATATGACTCTGAATATAATGCATGAGACGTATGGATATTTTTGGAGCTGAACTTTCAAGATGTGAAGTGTTAATTTATGGAAAAAAGATCTGCATGAAGATTCACGAATTTCACCTTCAATACTGCACAGAAGAAAAATATAACAGTATATGATTTCACAACGACATCTGACACAGAGGTCACAGAGGCAGACCTGCCAACCTTGGAAATAGTTTTTTAGTACCATTAGTGTGGGGGGGATGTGAAGTGGGGGGTAAACAGTTTACAGTTTACCATTTTACTGTTTTTTTACTGTTTACCGTAACCGTTTAGCTAATTTTTGCTATTTAGTTTTTTTTTTAATGCTATTTAAAATAGAAAAAAAAACCTCCAGTCCACTTCTTTATAGGGCTGGGCGATATGAGCAAAAATATATATATATGAATTTTTTGGCTGATTTGCGGTATACGGTAGCCTATATATCTCTGTATTTTTTTGGCTGATTTGCGGTAAACGGTAGCCTATATATCTCTGTATTTTTTGGCTGATTTGCGGTATACGGTAGCCTATATATCTCAGTATTTTTTGGCTGATTTGCGGTATACGGTAGCCTATATATCTCTGTATTTTTTGGCTGATTTGCGGTATACGGTAGCCTATATATCTCGGTATTTTTTGGCTGATTTGCGGTATACGGTAGCCTATATATCTTGGTATTTTTTGGCTGATTTGCGGTATACGGTAGCCTATATATCTCGGTATTTTTTGGCTGGTTTGCGGTATACGGTAGCCTATATATCTCGGTATTTTGTATTTGTATTAAACAAATAAAGTGCATGCAAGCATGTAGGCACATATTATGTGCAAAAAACGGTTAAAATCACATTACATTGTAACATTGCAATCTAAAAACTAAAATTTTAAAGCAGACGTTAAAGTTACTAAACTAAAAATGAAAATAATAAAAAGCACAGACTAATTGAGTATAAAGGCAATTTTGATTTCTCAATTACACTTTACAGTTAGTGCTATCATACAAATACACTTACTTGTAGGTTTAAAATTCTTCATATGTCACATTTATTGTCCAACTACAAATATTTCAGCAAAATTTATATTTTAGTCTGAGTTATTGCGCTCCTATTTTATTGAGCTCTGTCTGTTTGGCGCTCGTTCTAAATGAAGTCTGTGGAGTTTAGTGGAGAATCACGCACTTCTAACAGCAAAATGGAAATATTTCCATGGCTTTTTTAACATTTACAGATGGAGAATATACCTGTGAAATGTAAATTATGTATTAAGGAAAACAGCACATCTCAAACACATTAAACAGCGCGTCTCTGTAGCCTCACACGCAGCCTTTCTGTCAGTGCATCTGACGGGGCGAGCGCGAGTCGCTTTGAACTGAAACTATAAACTATAGGCTACTAGGAGAGAAATAAAACGCAGGAAAAAAACGCTCTGATTGGTTGAACTCCTCATCTTTTTCTGTTGCTTGTTTTGAATACTGCGCGTGGACAGAGGCGACACTAGATTTTTGCGTAGTTTAGAGTGACAAATCGTACAAGCGTACTTTGAGGTCAAAATGCGTAGCCGCTCAACTCAACGAGAGCGAATCACTCCAGAATCAAAAGAACTCTGAAACGCTATTCTGCTTATAACTCCTAAACAAATAATATTTTCAGAATCATTATGATTGTACATTACTTTCTTCATTACAACGTAACACTTTTTTATAGAGCTGCTTTATAGCTGGACAGAATTGATTTCGTGATTATTGAACTGAATTGAATCAACATTGAACTGAATAATGACTCTGTTGTCTCCAGCTGAAACTGAATCATTTTAGAACTGTTGCAACTTTATAGCACTGTTATTTTATTACTGCAAAGCTGTTTGAACAGCGTTATTATAGCTAACTAAAATTAAAACCATACAAATATTTTTTATGTTACTTGAAATAAAATAAAAGTTAACTGAAATTTAAAACAATAAAATACTCTTATTGATCTAGTTCCCAAGGAAATAATTCTGTTTTTAATTTAGTTTAACTTGACGTACTAGAATAAACTAAAACTGAAATAAAAAAAATTTAAAAACTATACAGACTGCATATAAAAACAAAAACTAATTGAAACTATTAATAAAAAAAAACTACATAGACATATTTAAAATAAAATAATAAAAATAACAAGAACAAGAACACAAAAAAAATACTACAACTAAAAATATAAAAACAAAAACTAATTCAAACTATTAATAAAAGCTCTTTTTATTTTTGTGATTTTTATTAACTATTTTTTTTGGTGTGTTGTTTATAATAGTCACTTTTTAAAAATAACTAAAATATTTTTTTTAAATAATTAAAGTCAACAAAAATAAACCACAATGCAACAAATGCTACTACAGTGCGTTAATACATGATATATGACTTCTACTGTATTAGTCATGAGACATTTTTAAAAAAAATAATAAAAAAGCTTTTATTTTAAGTCAAATTGAACTTCTTTTCAAATTGATTTTGCTGTGATTCACAGATGAATGTAATGACACTGCATTAGCCTTCAGCGCTCATTAAAGCCTGCAACAGCACTACAGATCCACAATAACATGCATGAATAAAGCACAATAACTCAGCTACGGACACCGCTGTTCCCTGAAAATAAACTCTCTTCAGACATTTTTCACACGCACACTATGATGCATTTGTCTGTTAACAAAGCCCAGCAGAGGACAAACATCAATCTCATGCTGTATCTTGTTAGATCATATTTTCTCATGTGAAATAATGATTGCGAAAAATGAAATTTTAAACATTCTTGGACAATTTCACAAATATTTGAATATCTGCATGAAATGTGCATTAAATATGTTCACTGTATTTGCATAATTTGACAAAATCTTGATTGGAAATGCAATGCAATATTCTGTTCGCAAATGATATTTTTTAGCCAAAATCAGAGAAACAAACAGAGAAACTGTCATCGAACACACACACACACACACGTCTCCGGGAGGTCAAATACTTTCTGCTTTCTGAAAGACGCTCTTCACGGCCAACAGAAACAGTCCTTCAGTCCTTTCCTTCTCAGATTCTTCACATGTTTCCCAGCGGCGGCAGACATTTATAGCCGACAGACATCATTTTCATGGACAAACAAGCTAAAAATAATCACCATTAATGGATATTGCCAAAATGCAATTCCAAGAAATACTGCTGCGGCATTTTGCAGAGAAAAAAACAAAATTATGAAATAAATTACCAAAGTAAAGCAAAGTAACCTGCGCACCTGTGTTTGGCGTACCGTAAACTTTATCTCACACACATGCAAACAAAAAGAGAGAGCGAGAGAGTCTTACTCACCATGCAGAATTACATTACATTATATAATTTATATTAAATATTATAAATCAAATTTGTTTAATGTTTTAAAACATAATAACTTAATATATTTTATATATTATGATAGATTATATATTACAACATTATTTATTTGTTTAATATTTTTTTAAATAAATAAAAGATTTTATGTTATACATTTCATATCATATTAAATTTTGTAATAAATAAATAAAATATTTCAAGTCATAAAATAACTGCATTTTTATATTTTCTCAAGAAATAATGAGTACTGCTTATCTATGCAAAACTTACTCTCAATATGCAAATATTATCTTTTTTTAAGTTCCTATTGTGCACGATTCTTTCCAAAGAAAAATGAAAGCTTTCTCCATAATTTTTCATTAAAGATTAAAACTTGTCTTGCCTCTGAAACAATGTTTCTTTTCGGCTGACATCATTTGGAATTCTAGTATGAAACACCACGCCCACTTTTCACCATCCAATCAAATCCTGATGGAGAAAATCAAGTTCCATCCAATAATATTCTCACTGAATATCCTGCTTCACGTCAGATTTCAGAAGTAAAATGAGTTGCGAATGTAAATAGAGTTGTGTTCATGTAACTAATGAATATTTTGAACATTTCATACATTTCATGTCCCTCACTCAATTCATTTCAGAAACTCTTGCCGTCAAACGTGAAGCACAACGAGGCCTCGTTTAGCTGACAGGTAGGAGAAAGCCCATCTAGCCTGTGATCTGTTGAATCTGACACTGGTTCAGTCGCGCTGAATGCTCTCTAGAGTCTCTAGAGAGCACAGAAACACAGACGCTCGAGCAAGACTAACCAGAGGTGACGGCAGAGCGCGGCAGAGAAAGAGCTCAGGGTTATATAAAGATCACCTCGCGCTCCACACGCTGTTTACTGATGCTCACAGCCTTCTGGAGTGTAACCGTCAGTCATCAGTACTGTGACTTACTGCAGCAGTGACTCATAAATGCATAAATGCATCAGAATATGCATGAATACATGCTTGATATATATATATATATATATATATATATAAATCTTGATTTTATTATATTTTAAATATAAATTGTATATTATATAAATTTATTATGTAAATGTAATATTATTATATTAAACTTTTAAAAAATCTTAAAAATCGCAGTGCACTAAATCAAAGCTTCGATGACTGACTGAATATACAATGATTTTGCTTTTGATTTTAAAGTTTGTCTTCTCAGAGCACAGAAAATCCTTACAATAACACTGTGGGAATACTAAAAGAATTCTCAATAATCCCTGAGTAACGGCTGTAAGAGTGTAACATGAATTAATTCACATCAAGAGCATTAAAACCACGTCTGGTCTTCCTGCTGAGCGTTTCGGTGTCACTTGAGGCCTGAACGCAATCATGCTAGACGGGGCGCAGAGATGCAGCGCAGAACGATGAAGCATCTCTGCCATGATCACAGCTGACACTTCAACCCCAGAGACACACACACCCAAACTACACATCCCAGCATGCACTGCTCCAGCGACAGACACGTTTATATCAATAACGGCTCACGACGGTTATATTCACCAACATTCGCAGGATCATGAAAGTCAAACGGCTGCAGTTTCTCACCTCGTCAAAGCCGCTGTCTTCTTTCTTGAAGGCTTGAAGGAGAGAGAAAGAGAAGGAATATCAGACATCCACTTTACTGGCTACTGAACAGTGAATAAAAGAATGAAATAAGCAAAAAAGTGGCTCTTTAATGCATTCTGCACATGATGCAAATGAAAAACAAGAAAGAAAGGCTGTAATTGGCCGGAATATTTTCCATCCACAACCACAGGAATATTCTTACATTTAACCCCAAAATCAAATGAAAGAAGTTAGAAAATATATTTTCCATTATAAAAAAATGAAGGTTGTGTTTTTATTTTATATTTATTTCAGTTATTAATTGTATATATTTTAATAATAATAATAACAATGTATATTTTTGAAAATATAAAGTATATACTTTATAGAAAGTATTTTAAATATTTTATAATATACATATAATACATATTTTATTCAAAGTATGTCTATAAAGTATAAAGTTGGATATTATATATTATATGATATTGTACTTTTGTTATGTAGTGTGTGTGTGTATATTTATATATATAATCTGAAAAATAATAATATTAATAATTATAATTATATAATTAATTTGAATAATAATAATAATAACAAGATATATTTTATTTTATTAAAATATTTTATTTTAATAATACAATATATATTTTATTTATTATATTTTTTTAAATATTACTTTTCTTTTAAATTATATATATTATTTACGAATCTAATAATTTTTAATAATGTAATAAATAAATATTAAAAACTAATAAAAGTGATCAATTGAATAAATTATAGACCGTATGAACTGTAAGGTGTTTATTCAGTACATCATATGCTTCACTTAAAAAAGAAAATACAATTTATTTTAATTTTGGGGTGAAATGTGACCTTGATGTTTATGAGGTGTTATCAGATGCTGAAGTGCTTGATTCATCTCCCATAAAGCCTTGAAACCACAGAGAAAATGTTTTGTTAATTAAATGGTGAACATTTAAAAATATGATCTTTCGCGCGCAGAATTGTGGCAGAAATGTAAGCCCATGCACTGCAGCCTGATGCAAGATGAGAGAACATCACAACTTCAGACACACAGATGCCAGGAACATCTACTCAAGACAACACAGCAGAACTAGTGCACTGCACTGCTGACTGACGCCTACATAGACTGGATGATTTGGAACGCTCTGCATAATATATGCTGCCTACGACTGTGTCACGCGTGCAGAGCTCCTGATGAAGTGAACGTGAGACTCGACTCACAATCCATTCATACATGCTCATGACATGCAGCATTTTGTGTCATACTGTAATATGTATATAAACACTGTGAACATAGTACTGGGCAAAAACAAATTATATTTTGCATTCAAAATTAAGCCCAATTTCATTAAAAAAATACAATTATCATTATAATATTATTTTTTATATTTTGCATATAATATATAAAAGTGTTTTGAACTAATATTATCAAAAAATATTTAAATATTTATAATAATAATAATAATAATATAAAATATAATTTTACCACTGAACTGGTGACAAGCCATAACACTGTATCGAAAGCATTGCTCAAATTCTCTGAACTGTGAGACATCTCGAAGGAGAAACATCTGATGACAGAAGACTAAACCAACATTTACGGATCAGCTCGATGCATCATTGCGTTTCCAAATTCTCGTGAAGAGTTGAAACATTTCAGCTTGAAAAGATGAAAAATGCTGCATCGTGTTTACGGTCTTTGCAGCAGAAGCTCACATCATCTTTCTCCTTGCACTTTCTTACAGAAGCAGCTTTATTACACTGGATAACAGATATCTGTCAAAAAAGGTTGATTATGAAACCTGATTCATTTTTATTATTATTTTTCAAAAGACAATTTTATGCTAATGAAAATATTTTAAAATTAAAATAAAAAACTAAAAATATTAAATGAAAAATATAAATACAATTATTATTATTAATAATAATAATAATAATAATAATAGGCTTCACAAAATTATTTATTTTAACTTTTTAGGGTGAATAGTTTTATTAGATAGATAGATTTTTTTAAATAATAAAAATATATATAAAATAAATAAAATGTATGTATTTTTATTTAGTATATTTTTTATTTAGTATATAAAATCTTTGAATATTTCAAATAAAATCTCTTAAAGAATGCATAATATAATCATATTTATATATATACACACACACATACATACATACACACACCGGTTTTTATGCTTTATAAAAAAAAATTTTTTTTAAGTAAAAAGTATTTACAAACATTGACAATCTCAGTGGTCCAACAGCAGGCTTCAGTTGCTTTATGCCTAATAAAAACATCTAATAAATGTAATTTGATTCTAGAGTGAAACACTACTTTTTACTTGCACTGATGAGTTATGCAGAAGTGTGTATTAAGAAAGCAAATATGCTGAGTGTTGATTTCATGTTCACTTAAATCTCGCACGCATCTGCTGCGCTCGTCTCGTTCTGTTCAGCATCTTTAACACGCTTCACACGGATCTGCCCAAGCATTTGCACTTCCCTGCTGGATCTGGTGGCTTTGCAATCTAATGCACAGCTTTCAGAATGAGCTGCATAACGAATGCGCTGGTCTGTTTTAAACGCTGCTTTCGTCTGAACCGTGCAACGGGTAAGACACTAAATCAAAAACCCATCACGAGTCCACACGGGGATAAAGCACAGCGATCTCTGTAAAAGTGGAAGCTTGTTTTATTAGGACATGTTTTGATAAGAACACGGTATAAATACAAACGTCTAGATCATTCACAGAAGCCAGAGCGATTAAAAAAAAAAAGATGCTGAGTTTGCAATCACAACTGAATCAGAAAGTGCAATAATTCACTGAAAAACTCAACTTAGTTGTCGTTTATTCACCCTCATGTCGTTACAAACGCACAAGTTGTTAGAATTTTTCATGCACGTCTTTTCGACAACGGTTCATAGTGACAAAAATGACAAAGAATCCATAAAAGCATCATAACAGTAATCCACATGATGCATTTTATAAAGTAAAATAAAATGCATTATCTGAATGCATCATAACAGCAGTTCATATGGTGCATGTGCTATATTTCTGAAGCCATTTGATGCTTTGTGTGAGAAACAGACTGCAATCAAGTCACTAATCATCTTCTCCGCCACTGCAGCTCTAAAATCTCATTTGCATTTATTGCACAATGTTTTTGGCTCTTTGTGGATTATCAGAGAATAAAACCTAGGTCTGTTTCTCAAAGAAAGTATCATATGGCTCAATACAAAGAGACTTGATAGAAATACAGCATGCACTTCTTATTTTGAAAGTCCTGCTCGGTATGAGCTGTTGTCGAGCAGAAAAGAGCGACAGGAGGGTGAATAAATTACATTTTTGCATAAACTAGTTCTCCAACTCTCTATAAGAACACAAAGAAACAAAAGAGTCACATTCGAACAGCTACCCGTTCCATCTTCTAAAGCATTAAAATGTGCACAAAAAAAGTCAGTATTTTTGTCACATTCTTAAATCAAGACACATTTACTGCAGATCTTATTTTGTGAAAAATGTATCAAAACGTAGTGAGTTAATGCATTAAGCTAGAAAGAAATATCTGCTAATGAGATTAGAAAAACCTTTTAAATGAAGTAGATTTTTCTCACCCCACTGGAAGATATTTGTTCATGTTTTAAGCCTGAAATCACTTCAGGTTGATGCATTTTTAACTTTACATCGCATGTCATTTTACTATCTTGATTTAAGATAGATAGTTAAGATATTTATTGGAAATCAAGACAAAAATACAGAGGATGAAAACTATTCTTTAGCAGTGTGCTGCTGTTGTGTTTGAGTAATACAGAAAATATTATTATTCTTATTATTAACACAGATTTCTAAGCAATGGAAGGACTGAGAAGGTCATCTCCGTATCGGCTCCATCTAACCTAAAGTGATCCGGTGCGTCTCAGAGCAAAGCGTGTGGTGAAGGGATCCAATCCGTGGCTTTTACTCGTTCTCGAACTTGCTGTACGGATGATCGGAGTCTGGGATGAGACCTGGAACAAAAAGACGGCAGATATGTGCCACAATCAGAATTCATATCCACGTCTCGTTTTCTGTCAGCCGTACACTGCACTTTTTGTCTTGTTTTCAAGTATAAATGTCTAGAAGTTCTTGAATCAGGATGCATTTTCTTGACAATAAAATGACTTAAGATATTATGTCATGTTTTCTGGAAAACAAAAATCTAAATTTTGTTCGTTTTTGCTTAAAACAAGCAAAAATATCTGCCAATGGGGTAAGAAAAATGTGACCCTGGAACACAAAACCAGTCATAAGGGTCAATTTTTTAAAACAGAGATTTATGCATCATCTGAAAGCTGAATAAATAATCTTTCCATTGATGTATGGTTTGTTAGGATAGCACAATATTTGAAAATCTGGAATCTGAGGGTGCAAAAAAATCTAAATATTGAGAAAATCATCTTTAAAGTTGTTCAAATGAAGTTCTTAGCAATGCATATTACTAATCAAACATTAAGTTTTGATATATTTACGGTAGGACATTTACAAAATATCTTCATGGAACATGATCTTTACTTAATATCCTAATGATTTTTGTCATAAAAGAGAAATGTATAATTGTGACCCATACAATGTATTGTTGGCTATTGCTACAAATATCCCCCAGCGACTCAACACTGCTTTTGTGCTCCAGGCTCACATTTAATATTAATTCAAAGGCTAAACAAGATTATTTTTCTTGCCACATTAGCCGATATTTTTGCTTGTTTTAACAATATTTGGATTGACGTAATATCATTTTACTTGTGAAGTAAATGCATCTTGATTCAGATATTTATACTGGAGAACAAAACAAACATACTTAGGAAAGAAAATCAGTTTTTGCAGCGAATATGAGAGAAGTTTCAGCCAGAAATCATTCTTAGCAGCCATGAAACTGCATTGAAATATTTTTATTTAAAAAAATAAAAAGACGGTTGGCATGCATTTAATTTAAATTGCATAACACAGTCACTTGCGTCTGAAAACTTCAAGCTAGACACTATAAGTAACTAATAGATATCACCATATTTATGTTGATTAATCACAGTACATCAAGACCATATTTTGAATGTTTTTAACCTGTATATTAGGAATAAAATTTTGCAAAAAATCAGACAAATGATATATGAACAAACCCTTCTGTACAAACTTGCTGCTGCTGAAATTCATTTTGAGAAAACGGCCTTTAAAGATATGAATTGCAACTGAAATCTACAGAGACATATTAATTAAATATCATAAAATAAACACTTATATGTGTATTTCGGGTGTTTTCTTTCCACTAAACCAAAAGAAGACATATTATGGATGCCAAAATATCACTCCATAAATCAGAAAATACCGTCAACATTTAGAAAACAAACACATTTTTACATAAAATGTTTTATAAAAAATCAATTATTTATTAAAACATTTATGTTATATACGTATATACATCAACAATAGCCTTCAGAATATAGAGAGGAATAAAACTGAGTTCTGGTGTTTGTAAGAGGAAAAACTCTTTAAAGATAACAATTGGAATCTATAGACGCAAACAGATAAACACTTAAATGTGTATTTTAGATGTTTTCTATACACTAGTCTGAAAGAAGACCTGTTATGGAAGTAAAATAACACAAAACTGATTGCGTCTTGACACAAAAGGTTAGCAGCTAATTGTCAGTTTCTAGTTTGGTGTTGGTTTTGAACCCTGTTGCTGTGACCGTTATCTCACACAGGACGTCCTTCAGAGGGCAGACGCTCGTGTGTGTGTGTGTGTGTGTGTGTGTGAGCAGCAAGTCAGAGACACCCGGTCCCTGATGTAAGGACTGCTGAGAGCAAGAGAAACACAACGGAGGCCTCTATCCATCATGCTGTCACACACACACACACACACACACACACACACTTCACCACAGGACACACAAGCACACGGAGACAACAGAGCCAATAAGGACGTGGCCCAGAAACCATCAGTCATAACAGAACAGCATCACCACACGCTCAGACAATGACTTTGATTTTGGACTCAATAAGTAAAGTTTACAAAAATGACTTAGTTTGCAGCAGGATGTGGAAACTATAGAAGTTTGTTTCCGCCAAGGGATAGACAAAAAAAGTAAATGTGACTTTTTCTCACAATTCTGAATTTTGTTCTAACAATTTTAAGGAAAAAAGTCAGAATTGAGAGATATAAACTGAGAATTGCCAGATTTAAACTTTTTTAATTACTTTTTTCTCTGAATTCTGAGTTTACATCTCCAATTCAGTTTTTGTTTCCATGGAATTAAAAAAAAAAAAAAAACACCCAATGTAATAAATATCTCATCTCAACTTCCTCCACTTTTCCGAGGCCGGGTCACGGGGGCAGTAGTCTGAGCAGAGCCCCCCAGACTTCCCTCTCCCCGCACACCTCCTCCAGCACCTCTGGGGGAACCCCAAGGTGTTCCCAGGCCAGCTGGAATACATAGTCTCTCCAACGTGTCCTGGGTCTGCCCCGAGGACTCTTCCCAGTGGGACATGCCCAGAAAACCTCACCAGGGAGGCGTCCAGGAGGCATCCGAAACAGGTGCCCGAGCCACCTCGACCGGCTCCTCTCGATGCGGAGGAGCAGCGGCTCTACTCCGAGTTCCTCCCGGGGGACTGAACTCCTCACCCGATCCCTAAGGGTGTGCCCAGCCACTCTGCGGAGGAAACTCATTTCTGCCACTTGTATCCGCGATCTCATTCTTTCGGTCATGATTCAGAGTTCATGACCATAGGTGAGGGTAGGAACGTAGATCGACCGGTAAATTGAGAGCTTCGCCTTGAGACTCAGCTCCTTCACCAAAACAGACCGGTACAATGACCGCATTACTACGGACGCAGCACCAATCCGTCTGTCAACCTGCCGTTCCATTTTTTCCTCACTCGTAAACAAGACCCCGAGATACTTAAACTCCTCCACTTGAGGGAGCACCCCCCCAACCTGAAGGGGGCAATTTACCTTTTTCCGACTGAGAACCAAGGCTTCAGATTTGGAGGTGCTGATTCTTGAACAACAGGTTTTTACAGGTGTGGAAAATTTTGAACCACACTTTGCCTCATTTGTCACCCAGGATCTGTTTGCCATGAGTGACTCTACTAGGGGCATATAGCCCCAGGCAACATAGCTCCTGAGATCATTCAGGCACTCAAACCCCTCCGCCACGCTAAGGTGGTGGTTCAAGGAGGGGATGCAATAAGGGGATGCAATAAATAAGTAAATATTATTTAACCATTAAAGAACCACCTGTTGCTTACACATGGGGGCAGTCATGACCTAATGGATAGAGAGTTGCACTAGTAACCCGAAGGTCGCCAGTTCGAGTCCCAGGTCCGGCAGGAATTGTCGGTGGGGGGAGTGAATGTCCAGTGCTCTCGCCACCCTCAATACCACGACTGAGGTGAGACCCTTTAGCAAGGCACCGAACCCCCAACTGCTCCCCGGGCGCCGCAGCATTGGCTGCCCACTGCTCTGGGTGTGTGTTCACGGTGTGTGCGTGTTTGTTCACTACTCACTGCTGTGTGTGTGCACTTGGATGGGTTAAATGCAGAGCACAAATTTCAAGTATGGGACGCCACACGTCCTTTCCTTATTTAAATATTTTTTCCATTGAATAAAGTACAAATAAATACATTTTGAATCACATTACACAAATTATTAAAAATATTTATGCAAAATTAGTTTTCTATTTTTTCACATTTTTTACTCTTTTTTTTTTTTTTTTACTGAAAAAAGAAGTGAAGTAATAAAGGAGTAAAAAATGGAAAGTAACACATTGAAATGAACGTGAAACTGAAGTGTTTTCTTTTCAAATGTGCTATAATAATCTTTGTTTTATACACAAATTTCCAAAATCATATTTTATAGCGTGGTGAAAAAATGGTCATGAAAAAATTATGACCATGAAAAAATGGTGATTATTTTGGTGAAAGAAACCTTTGATTTTACAAAAAAAAAAGAAAGAAAAAGAAAGTGCTGAGAATACGAATATGAATAAAATCCAAAAACATAAATCTTCTACAAACTGCTTCATAAAATCCATAACTGGATCTTCTGTAAGAGCTGGATGTGAGGGTCGCATGGATCTGCTCAGCATTTGTTCGTCAGCAGTGATTCTGCGTTACTTGAACGGGAGCGGATGAGGAGCAGTCGTGCAATGAAAACACGATGAAGCTCCAGCGGCCGGAGTGAGTGAGATGAGGAGAGTCTTGTCATCAGACAGAGGGATGAAGCTCTCGCAGAGGCTCACATCCTTTGATCTTCTCTTTACTTTCAACACCCTCTTCACCGGCGAGTGCGACCGGCTCACGAGAATGTCAAACAGACGCACTGCAGCCGCAGACACTCCCACGAATGCATCTGCAGGCTGTGTGTTAGCCAATAAGATAAAATAAAATAAAATAAAAAATAAAAATTTAATACAATAAAAAAAACATTCACATATAAATACAAATTAAATAAAAATAAATAAATAAAACAAAATATAAAATAAAATTAATAAAAATTAATAAAATAAACAATTCAATCAAATTCAATCAATTTCTATAATAAATAAAATATATTGCATAACTAATAGAATATAAATAAATACGAAATAAAAATTACATTTAGAAAGAGTTCCTCCCGGGTGACTGAACTCCTCACCCGATCCCTAAGGGTGTGCCCAGCCACTCTGCGGAGGAAACTCATTTCTGCCACTTGTATCCGCGATCTCATTCTTTCGGTCATGATTCAGAGTTCATGACCATAGGTGAGGCTAGGAACGTAGATCGACCGGTAAATTGAGAGCTTCGCCTTGAGACTCAGCTCCTTCACCAAAACAGACCGGTACAATGACCGCATTACTACGGACGCAGCACCAATCCGTCTGTCAACCTGCCGTTCCATTTTTTCCTCACTCGTAAACAAGACCCCGAGATACTTAAACTCCTCCACTTGAGGGAGCACCCCCCCAACCTGAAGGGGGCAATTTACCTTTTTCCG